CTCTCCCCGACAACAAAACCGAACATTTACCTGGCTATCTGCCTCTTGTACCAGGCATGCCTGTATTATTGCAAGAAAATATTGCTTGTGAACTTGGCCTGTCTAATGGTGCGCAAGGTATCTTCCGCGAATTAATCTATCATCGCGTGTCAGAACCTACAACCGGCACCAATGAAGAAGCTTTTACGCCTGACACTGTATTTATACGTAATGCTCAATATGCTTTGGTGGAAATAGCGAAATCCAAAATAAGTAAACTAGGTTCGCTCGAACCGCTCGTTGTTCCTATTCCAATAATTGAGAAAACATTCGATGTCGATCTTGAGAAACTGTATAGTGATAAAGGAGCCATGATGAAATTGTTCAAGGATAGAAAGCTTAAGGCTAGCATATCTGTGAAAAGAAAAGCATTACCACTTATACCAGCTTACTCCATTACAACTCATAAAAGTCAAGGTCAAACACTGCCGAAAATAGTCATTGACTTGAATATGCCGCCTGGAATGGTTGAAGTAGCATCGGCTTATGTACCACTATCCCGAGTACAACGGCTCTCAGATCTTGTAATTTTACAGGATTTTAGTATTGACGCTCTGCGCGTAAAACCGTCGAAAGGCCAGATCGCTGAACTTAATAGATTAGCTACCATTTTCGAACGAACAAAACAACATTATTCTCATTACTTCGCATGATATCAAGTGGAGTAATTGTTAAATCTCCTCCTGCTGGCAAAGTCAACCAACCTTTATGTATTATGGTTTACTATATACTGTGTGTGTGTGTGTGAAGTCTTACTATGACGTTGGCTTAACTCTGATTTACTTTATGAGTGTTATTAACAATAAAAGTAATTACTACAATAAATGACCAATCAATAATTAAAAAAATACACTCTTATTTGAAGAAACTTGGTTTTTGACACTTTACATTTTAAACTATGTATTTCTGCTGTGTCAGCGTGATTTTTATGTCTGCATCTTTATGTAATCCTTATCATTGTGTTGTGTAGATTAGAAACAATTAAATCAGTTTTAATTAATAATATGATTTCTTTTACCATTTGTTTATCTGTTTCAGATATTTGTAAAAAGCTGTTGTCTTTTCTCGTCGTTGATCCTTATCAATACAAATCGTCAACAATTATTCGAAGCACATTACTGATGAAATCTAACGTTATGATCATCTACTTTCTTTTAATATCGTTCTCTCCAAATACTTTGGCTCACTTTAGCAATGTTTTTTCGGAAAATAACACAATCGCGTATCCTGAAGCAGGTCTTTTCCTCAGTCATGTGGGTTCGTATACACCGCCTGATGCAATCATTCATAATTCGGCAATTTTTCCAATGACTGCTGAAACGTGTTACTTTTTACCGTTNCAACGGCTCTCAGATCTTGTAATTTTACAGGATTTTAGTATTGACGCTCTGCGCGTAAAACCGTCGAAAGGCCAGATCGCTGAACTTAATAGATTAGCTACCATTTTCGAACGAACAAAACAACATTATTCTCATTACTTCGCATGATATCAAGTGGAGTAATTGTTAAATCTTCTCCTGCTGGCAAAGTCAATCAACCTTTATGTATTATGGTTTACTATATACTGTGTGTGTGTGTGTGAAGTCTTACTATGACGTTGGCTTCACTCTGATTTACTTTATGAGTGTTGTTAACAATAAAAGTAATTACTACAATAAATGACCAATCAATAATTAAAAAATAGACTCTTATTTGAAGAAACTTGGTTTTTGACACTTTACATTTTAAACTATGTATTTCTGCTGTGTCAGCGTGATTTTTATGTCTGCATCTTTATGTAATCTTTATGATTGTGTTGTGTAGATTAGAAACAATTAATATCAGTTTTAATTAATAATATGATTTCTTTTACCATTTGTTTATCTGTTTCAGATATTTGTAAAAAGCTGTTGTCTTTTTCTCGTCGGTTAGCCTTATCAATACAAATCGTCAACAATTATTCGAAGCACATTACTGATGAAATCTAACGTCATGATCATCTATTTTCTTTTAATATCGTTCTCTTCAAATACTTTGGCTCACTTTAGCAATGTTTTTTCGGAAAATAACACAATCGCGTATCCTGAAGCAGGTCTTTTCCTCAGTCATGTGGGTTCGTATACACCGCCTGATGCAATCATTCATAATTCGGCAATTTTTCCAATGACTGCTGAAACGTGTTACTTTTTACCGTTGGCCGCTGCCGTTAATATTCCTACATGCAATGTTACAGGTAGGAGAAGAAGCAAACGTCATCCTGGGGCACTCGCTTTGGTGTCGATTGGTGTAGGACTATTTGGCCTCGGTACCACGTTAGGTAACATGCTAACGACAAATCTTCAGAGCCAGGTGACACTCGTGGAAAAATCCCTTGCAGATCTCTCTGGAGCATTACAAATCAATAGGGCACAGTTAGCGAAAATTCAAGAAAATCAAATCGAACTCGGAGAAGAGTTGCAATTAACACAACAAGCTCTTAATGCTACGATTCCAATCTTAAATGCGCATTCTGATACTATTAATACTCTTAAAAGTGGTATTGAACGCTTATATACTCATTTTCAACACTCATTTCTCTACTCAGCAATTACCCGAATTTTTCGTAACGATCTCACACTTGAATTTCTCTCACCGGAAGATTTAAACATCATAGTATTCG